AAAAATAGTTATTATAGTTATATACTTATCAACTTTAATGTGACCATAAGTTTAGAAACAAACTACATTGATAAACCAAGGTTGATTAGTAATTTTTAAAAGATTGAATTTAGCGACTTACCATATCCATTATTAATTAAAACATGTGGCATTTTTTTTCTCAATGTTTCTTGGTATTGTTTTGGGAATATAGAACCGCTTGTCATAATAAACCTTAATGTCGACAATTGATACTTCTTCAACACATCCGTCTTAACAAACTGAATTAGAATGAATGGGTCAGTAGCAAACCACGTTACCTGAAAATCACCATCAATTATAATGTTAATTAAAATCACATTCTTCAGTTCTTGTTTCCACCAAAATTCGGCATCACGTTTCATTCAAAGTTTTGTCTAGGAATTATTCTTTTTTCTTACTCGATATTTCTCGATAAATTGGCAATACATCGCACTCGCATCGTCATCTGCCACAGAGTCTGGCGCAACAATTCTCGTCGAACATGACAAAATAGCCTTAAATGCAAGCATAACGCCGTATTGCCAACGTATTGTCGGTGTAAACATGCAAACGTGGCCTGTCATTGCGGCAACTTTTGGAGGAGGTAGACGATTGTGCATAGAAGAGTGCGAGATCTCAGTGGCCTTTGGCATGCCTGTAGTGCCTGACGAAAGAACAATAAGACCAACTTCGTCCGGGCTGCTGATCGGGGTACATTTGAACTCGGCGATTTCGCGACTATCATGACCTCTTAAAATATCGTCTATCGATTCATATCCATCCAGTTTGCCAATAACCACTATTTTCACATCCATTTTCAACTCCTTTGCTGCTTCTGTCAAACTCGCGGCTGATATTGGGATTGTAAAGATTATTTTTGGTGACATCAACGAGAGAAAGAATTTTGCCGTCGCTGAAATATAAGTAAATGATTAAGTGAGTGATGATTAAGTCATTTTACAAAGTTGCACTATATCAATTTTCTTTAATCCTTTAAAAGGATATGCGAATCTGATAAACATTTGCATTTATTTTCATACATTTTAAACTCTTATTGCAGCAACTTTCTAAAACATATGTTACAGAACATAGTACATATAAGACAAATATAATTAAATAAATGTATATTTATACAATATATGATATTTTAGCACATTGTTGTAATAGGAATAGTGAAAGAAAGATTACGTACTTATGGTGAGTTCATGGTCCCACGTATTGCATTTGCCGTTTAAATACATGATGCCCAACAATATTAGCATCGCATCCAGATTATTGTCGGTACAAAGACCGATTATATCGCCCGGTTGTACGCCTTGCTTCTTTAACCAAAGTGCACACCTAATACTGCGGTCAGTCATTTCGGCATAGGTATTTTGTTGGCCCGTAAAAGCGTCTATCTGTATAGACAAACAAATTATATAACAATTCACAACGGCAAATTATTAAATGCGATTGAAGAATATTAAGTATACAGAACCTGGCCGATGCAATCAGGCTTGCTTTTTAAAGTCTTTAGTATCGTTTCAGCTATATTGACAGATTCTCTATGTACTGGATATTCTGGCCCGCAGACGATGTTATCTTTGATTCGGCATTTCGATTTTGCTTCGTGCACCTTTATGATATAAAATTTCGTTAGAAAATTATTGATAAAACATTGTAACAATAACCATTTAAGATAATTTAATGTACCAACACTTTTTATGTAATTATAAGATATAGAATATAAATTTAACTAAAAATACAATCAAATATTAAAATTAAAAATCTATGAATATAAAAATGTTAAAGAGATAGTAGATTTACAAATTAAAAAAATTATATAATTATAATTAGTACAGATTTTTAAATAAAGGATAGATTATTGTACCTTGTTGTTATTAGATATTGCATTCGGTTCACACATTTTGATAAATTATGCAACAATTTTTTAATATTGTGTACACCTTTCACGACGGCCGAATAATTACTGACGGAAGATGGCTGAAATTGCCCATTCTTGTCTTAATTGTTATCTTCCCCACTTAATTGCGCGGAGAAGTATAGATAGTAGATTTTACTTTAGAGCTTACAGGCTTTTAGATGTGTCGCAGGTAAAAAGTAAGAGGTAAACAGTAAGAGATGATTGGATTGGTTATTTGAGTTTTAGGGCAGAGTGGAGGGGCAGTTAGCTTCGAATCGGAAGGAGGAAACGCTACATACAGATAATTGAACTTATGGAGAGGGTATCTTTCTGGGGGAAGTAAATTTCTGGAAGGGGTACAGTACACTAAAATCGGTGATACCCATAGACATATAAAAGATAGACTGCTTATGAGGTAGTGGGGGATGTCCTCTTGAGGGAAAAGGACAACATGAATTTATTTGGGTATCTGTCTTTCTCTAGTGGACGTGATCACGGACATCCCCCACTACCTCATAAGCGTGATCACGCTCACTAGAGAAATACCCAAATAAATTCATGTTGTCCTTTTCCCTCAGAAAGATGCTCCCACCCGAGGGGGAAACCGCTGACCAAAATCTTGTACACCAATGCCCACTAATGCCCAGTGGGCATTACTTTATCTTATTATCTTCTTTTATCTTATTTATCTTGTTTTATCTTATTGTATCTTATTTTATCTTTATAATGCCTCAGCAAGACGTAATGCCCCAAAAATGCCCTAGTAATGCCCGGTAATGCCGCAAATCTGTACACCACAATGCCCTCAGCGGTTTCCCCCTCGCTCCCACCTAGGGTTCCACTGCCTCATAAGCAGTTATCTTTTATATGGCTATGGTGGATACCTGACTGCAAACGAAACACCACACTTATAATATTGTGGAGGGGATGTGCCGACAATGCATACCAAAGTAAAACAGTCGTTGTATGCTCTCAGCGATAAATTTTGTTTTACGTTTCAGATAAGAGCCGTAAAGATAGAATATCTCTTTCACTTAGGTAACGTGAGAGCAGTGGAACCCTAGGTGGGAGCATCTTTCTGAGAGAATCTTTACTATAATATATCAATTGATAAAACGATAACGCACAACCAATTTGCCGAATCACTGCGGATGCTTCAGTTTAGTATTACTTGTAAATAAACTTCCGCAAACAAGTATTGGGTAAATTGCTGAAAAACAGTTGCGAGAAATATTTGCAAATTAATGTCCTCATTTTATATATTAAAATAGAAAGAAAAAATTAGATTGTTAAACTTTAAATAATTTTTAAATAAAATATCAAATTTTAATCGACCTCAGCTGGCCACATTTATTGGATACTTTGGTTTAGGTCCTAAACCAAAGGTCGAAACGTTGTGAAAGCGTATTCAATAAATGTGGCCAGCTGAGGTCGATAAAAATTTGAAATTTTATTTATATCAATACTGGCAATCTGATGAAATATAAAATTGTTTAATAATTTCAAAAAGTGTACTTACTACTCATTATTTATTCGAATTATAAATAACTTAAGAGAATATCATGCTGTTTGTATAAACCAAGAACATGGATGATATGACAGTAAAAATATAAAATGAATAATATTGGCACATTAATTTTGCATTTAATAAACAACGCAATTGTTGAATTATTAGAATGAAAATGTTGACTTAATGACATGCAAACGATAAATAATTTTAACGACATTGTAATTATTATTTAAAATTAGAAAACATAATTTAATAAATTTCATGATTATTCATGATGCTACAAAAGTTGCGTCGTTGGAGTATCGTTTGAATATTTTTATTCGTGTATAGATATAAAAATATATGTATAGATGCAGAACGTACAATACCCGATATCTCTTCTTATGTTTACACCGAGGGGGAAACCGCTGAGAGGATTGTGGTGTACAGATTTGCGGCATTACTAGGCATTACTAGGCATTTTTGGGGCATTAGTTTGGGCACTAGGCCTTGCTGGGGCATTATAAAGATAAAATAAGACAAATAAGATAAAGTAATGCCCACTGGGCATTAGTAGGCATTGGTATACAAGATTTTGGTTAGCGGTTTTCCCCTCGGTTTACACGAATGTATTTTATAGGTTTCATATATTTACATCGTTGTGACAAGTTGCAATAGTATGCATTTTTTAAGAATTTAAGTGAAACAAGATATTCACAAATAGCGATCAAGATTATTAGTAATTTTTAATTATAGAGCGTTAATAAATACAATGGAAATTATTTTCTATAAAGAAAGTAAATTAACATCTTGCTGTATCTGTACTCTGCTGTTATTGGTTGCTGTTGTTCGTTCACACATCTTTAAGTTCTAATAATTTTTGTTCATCTTTGCGTTCTTTCTAGTTTAATAACAACCGGAACACTATTTGCCGCCAGTCTGAATGAATCACAGCTTTTACATTATCTTTACATATTGTTTCCTTCACTGCTAATTTTTAATTTTCTTATTATTTGGAAAAAGCTATAAGTTGCTATGAATCTATATCATGCATTTTTAAATAAAATGGTCGAAGATTACATATTGATTTATATATTGTTTGTCTGTGTTTATGTGTAGTCCAATGTTTATGTGTAATCCAATTTCAAAATTTTGAAGTAATTTAATCAATCATAACTAATACTCATTATACGGAAAATTAACTTGGATATTTGTTTATAATGGGCTCACTATATCACATAATTAACAATAATATAATGAAAAATTTATGTATTTTATAGATTTCACAACATAATATGCAAATACCGTTAATCTATCTCACTTATAGTGTGCGTATTTATCTCATTACATGTAATTTATGTATTTCGTTACTATCCATAAATTCACAATTTCGTGTGATATACCAATCACCTTTATTGAAAAATCTTTATATATTTGCATGCATATATCATAGTATATTAAATATTATACATACACGAAAAGTAAATAGATGTGATATAAATGTGAACCAAATACAATTAAATTTTATTAAATTTAATCTGATACTGGAAATAATCTTTAAGCAGGTGTGGGAAAAAAATAATCTCTATCAAAATTTTATATAACCGATGTATTTCGACAATATCCTTCGACGATATTTATTTGTCATCTCTACTTTTATTTTGTAAGCATTCTTTATCACATACACACATACATTTAAAGATAGTTTACACGATACTATGTCTACTTATCTTGAAATGTGTATGTTTTAGTTTAATTGGCATAATTTTTTGCTATTACTTTTAATTGTTTCCTATCAATTTTTCCAGTACTGACACGCGGAAGTTTGTCCATAAATTTGATCCCTCCTACAAGTTTACAATAGCCCGGTAAATTTTTATCCACTAGATCATGCAATTCCTGTTCTGTTACCTGAAAAGTAAATTGCCATTCTGTCAGTCTTTTTACATTAATGTTATATACGACAAAATTACCATTTTTGTTCTAATAGACTTGATAAAAAATTAAGAATTTCAATTATAAATGTCATGTTCTTATCATATAGTATAAAATAAAATTATTTATGTATTTTTAAGAAAAAAATTTTTTCAGAAAGATTTTTAATATTTAAAAAAATTAATTTTTAAGTTAAATATCATGCAAATATGATGTACCTCTTTCCCGGTTACTTTCTGAATAAATGCCATCGGGTGTTCTATATTCTTTTCATTTGGTACTGGAACCACTGCAGCACTGAGAACTGAAGGATGAATTTCAAGTATTCCTTCTATTTCCACAGGTGATAATTTAATGCCATGGTAGTTAATAAAATTCGAAATTCTGTTGACGAAGAAAATTTCGCCTTCCTTGTCATAATATACTATGTCTTTAGTATGCAGCCAGCCTATGTAGAAAAATTTGCTGAAGTTATTTTAGATAAACTTAATTTCTTCAATATTTTTCTTGTAATACGACAATGTCGTTATGACATAGACAGATAGTTTTTAATATAATAATTTATATTGATTGTGAGTATAACAAGTTGATTGAAATAATTTTAGTTGTTTTCATAGCTGAATAAAATTCATATATTTAAGAAAGATATTTGAGTGAGTGAGAGAGAGGGGGGGGACAGGAAGATCATAAAAGCAGTTGAAAACTATATAAATAAAAATATTTTAAGTGTTCTACTTATTGCAATAAAATTGATAAATTGCAACATAATCATGTTGATAGGAAAACAAGCTTTATAAAAAAATAACAAAATATTAAAAAATATGCAGATGTATTTTACCAGTCTCAATACTAACCATTTGAATCGATAGCACTTTTAGTGTCTTCTAGATTTTTATGATATCCGTTCATTATGAATTCCGATTTTATACAAAGTTCACCTCTCTCGTTAGGCCCTAAAACTTTACCGGTTTTTTCGTCTACCACCTTTATTCGTATTCCCTTAGTTACAAAGCCACAGGAACCTGGCTTACTATTTTTTGCTTGGCTCGCGCACAATCCTCCGGCATCAGTCAAGCCTGGGAAATACTCTCAGATGATTACAAGTATTCCAACAGAAAGAATTTTATGATTTTATACAGCCTAACATTATATAAATATTATTACATTATATAATGCAACAATATTTCATTTTTGTAAGCATTTTCTTAAAAAAAGTTATAAAATTTTTGTTTACACGTAATCATATTTTTATAGTCTTTATGATGTTCTAATTTATCAATAGAACAATTCATCTTACCATAGCAATTTAATATTTGGGTATGTGGCATTATTTTTGCTGTAGCTTCTTGTATTTCTTTTGTAAATGGCGCACCAGTTACAACGAGTTTTTTCAGGGACGACATAGGATATTTTTGTAAAATATTATGTTTGAGTAAATAATGCGCAAAGGATGTATCACATCCGAACCATGTTACCTGAAAATATACATATATGCAAAGATAATTGAAAAATTATTATTAAACAATAAGTTCTATTGACTGGAAAAATTAAAAAGTCAACTTTGTCTAAAAAATAATTATATTTACTTAACAATAATGATAAACATTTTTTTATGTGACAAATACATACAAAAAGAAAGTAAAGTTTTGAACTTTAGTAGCAGATAAAGAAGTAAACTGAAACAATTACAAAACTCAAGAAACTGGAAACAGTTTTTAATAGATTTTATATATTAACAAGAATGCATATTGAAAGAAAAATAATCCATGATTTCACATATCAAAGATTGAAAAAGTTTCCAATGAATATTTTCAAATTTAGACACATGCACAATGGAGAATTTAAAATTGAATTGAATTTCGCGATATCTTTATATTAAGACGTTGTTTAACACTTTGAAGCACAGTGATATTAACAATGTCCCACTTTTTCAGTGCATGAACGTGCATAGTGGAACGTTATTCATTATATCACCTTTAAGTTTGTGTTCCAAATAAATTTAAATATTTTGTCACATTACAAAAGAAATAAAATATTTGTGCAAACATATATTTTTTTCGTTGTAAAATCCTGTGCCTCAAATAGATAAAAGAATTAATGTCAATTGAACTTATTGTTAGTCCATCTTTTGAACTATTACATTTATTTCTCAAGCTTACCCCATTATCCTGAATGACTTTGCATAGTTGGGCTTCGTTGCTAATTATTTCCTTTGAAGCGATAATCCATTTTGCGTTCGACATAATCAATTCGAACAGCATAGTCAGTCCACAGTGCCATCGTATGGTAGGGAACCATAATGATACCTCATTGATCATATTCACCTCTTCGATGGCAGTGATACTGTTGTAAAAAGACACATAAGACAGTTCGGTTCCTTTTGGCATACCCGTTGTACCGGAAGAAGCACAGATTATCGCTGTGTCACGAGGATTATCGACTACGGTGCAACGGAACTCATCGATCTCCGACTGGGTGACTTGATCGTGAAGAATGTCCGTCAAAGACACGAATCCCGGTAGACTGCCAATAACTACGATTTTAACTTGTAAATTTTCTTCCTTTGCAGCTTCCACCAGATTCTCAACGGAATTCGCGTTCGCGAAGACCACTTTCGGGGATATTAACGATAGACAGTACCGTGCGGATACTGGAAAAGATATAGAGTTTTTCTAAATTACTGACGGTCACGCTTCGGTTAATTATTATTTAGAAATAACTTTAGCAATTTATGTTTCCTATTAAGAACGCAATGTGTGTGTATTTATAGTTTTATTATTTAGTTTAGTTATTGCAGTTGTTTAAGTTATTTAACTCTCTAGCTAATAATTAAAACGATGAATATATAAAAATGACGCACTTTTCGATACTTTGTCATCCCACGGACATATTACTGCGGCAACATACAAACTTGCGTATACTGGTATGTAGGTATCGATGTGATTGCCAGTCCATATGCCAACTTTATCACCTTTCTGGATGCCGTGCTTTCTTAACCAGAGCGCACATTTGATACTTCGTTCTCTTATTTCCGCGTAGGTACTCTCTTTTCCCGAAGCAATCTCTACCTGAATATTTTACAAAATTTTATAAAATAAAATCAGTTTTACACATACATATATGTTACATCGATTAGGTCTATTATTCACTCAGCGTTCGGCATTCTTTTTTTCTTAATTTTTCTTAAAAATACTCAAAGATTATCGAGTGATATAAGCAACATCTCGCTAATACATTTACCTTTTTATTTCTAAGTTTAGTTTTATTAAATTATTGGAGTAAAAATAAAGAGCTAAATAATTTTAATTGAAGCTTACACAGTTACGAACGCAATGAATCCTAATCAATCATAAGATTTTCATGCGACGGTACCTGTCCGACGAAATCCGGCTTATTCCTCAATTTATCGAGAATCAGTTCACCGATGTTCGTGCATTCCGGATAAGTTTCCTCCGCGCCAATCAATATGTTATCCTCGATTCTAAACGATGGTACGTACTGGAGGAAAGCATATATCGTGATAACGATTCCACTAATCTAAATGTCACTCTGATCTTTTTTATTAACAACTTGTTCTTACCTGCGCGTTGGCTTTTTCGTTGCTCGTCATGTCTGTAAAGCTTTCTTGGCAGCTGTAATCACGTCGGCGATCGCGTGATATCGACGATAGAACGTTCTTGCACGAGGCTTTTATCAATATTCCACCACCATTTAATGTGCAATGTGTATTAAGTCACATTAATTCGTCATAGTAGTAGCCGGACTTATCGGCCTGTTTTGTCCATTTAATTGATAATAATCAACACGTGATTACAGCAACAAATGTTTCCTTTGGATATTTGTACTCCAATAATTTAAAAGTTAAAATGTAATACTTTAACACTATTATTTACATTTATTATTTTTAAAACAAGATCAAATTGAAAGGGAGTTTTAATTACGATGCATTTTTGCTACTAGAAATGAAGGTTTTCAGTGCATTACATTTTTGTTCAATACATTACATTAAGAGTACAAGTTTCTTACTAATTACAGATATTAGGAAAATTAGAAGCAAATTGTTCTCTGAATCTGGAACGACACATGTATAATGATAATATTCTTGTTACAGTTTGTCATGGCATTAAATTCTTTTAAGTTGATTCTCACTGTAATAAAGAGAATCAAAAATTTTAAATATATACAATGAATAAAGTAAGCTAAAATTTTGAAACATGTATACAATTTTAGAAAGCATTTTATGAGATAATTGTATACATTATTATACAAGTATTGCAAATGGCAAAATCCTCCCTTATCTAAAATCCCTATCGTATGATTTTATGTAAAATCTTCCTATTCGTTTTACTGAAATTAAGTTAAATTATTAGCACAAATTACTGTCAATTATCTTTTATAAATATCTAATTTCGAAACGCGACTGTACGCAAGAGATACCACGCCAAATTATTCGAAAATTTTTGTTCGACGGTATAATAAATTTATGAGGTCGCAGGAATTCCTGTTCGGCGGTTTGCAAAATGCATTTGCACCGAGCGATAAAAATACGCTTATCGAAACGGAGTTGCATTTGGGCGCTGCTGTATGTATCGCGCCGATTCGACGCCACGGTAATTTATCGCAGCCGTGCGCAGCGGTTGTGAAATTTTTCTACGGCATTCGCGAGCTACTACTGTCCGTCTTGACAACGTTGACAAATGCCGTTTCGAATGCCTCGTAGATGTCTATTCTCGAATGACATTTCACCTGATGCATAAAATATAAATGGGGAAACTTTCAAGTACTTTCTCATAATACAAGATAATTATAGCAAACGCTTCTATCCGCGAGATAATTCAAACACACACTATGATAAAGATATTTAATTAATTGCCTGAGACAGCTGTAAATAATATTAATTAACTAATGATTTAAGTATTAGTAATTAATAGTTTAATGGAGATCAATATGGAATATATTATTTATCTTTTGATTTTATGAGAGATAATATTGTAGAGATAATATTACAGAAACCCATAATGAGATCGTGAATATTATGTCGAGATAATCACGGAATTTAGTATGAATAATATAATCATGTTTGTTACAGAGAAACATATTTGTCTTTATCTAATATTATATAATTAATTTTATTAATCTAGAAATATGCGACAACTTTTACGGGCTAATAATACAATAGAACGAAACATTCTTTTATATTATATTAAAAAAAATGTTTGTATTTATATTAAATACAAATATATTTCATGTATTAGAATTCGAGTTGGAAATCTGATCGAATATAATTGAACAGATCGATTAGTATCTACAGTTAGAGTTCGTTTAATTCGTGGGGATATCATTGACATAAGTGTTTGCTCATTAAAGTCGCGATAATATTTTGAATCACTATGAAAACGTTGTTATCAATTTAGTTAGTTGTGATCTTTCTTATATTGAGAAATCAAGCAAATCTTATCCAACTTTCCGATGTTGTAATCCGATGTACAAAATTTGAGCCAAATTGGAGCATGGGCGTTTTCGAAAGAATAGCCCCGATGTTTACTCTGTTGCGAAGTACTTTACTATGTTGCGAAATAATTTACAATGATGACATTGCGCATTCATCGTAAATTACTTTGCAACATATAGTATTTGCCAATGATAATCAATAACGATAATGAAATAATACATTAGCTGTGTTTGCAATATTCTCCAGAATTATTATCGATATCACTTTTGACATCTTTTGTTAAACAATTGCTACAATTTGCATTTATTAGAGTAGTAAGGAAAACGTTTGTATAACCGTTACTACAACTAATACTCTTACATTTGCTACTTATTTGCTAAATTTATTGCTTCAACTTAAGACATATACAATATCTGTTCTAAAAGTTTTCAAACTTTGTCTACAAATTGCACAACTACAGCTATCTCTACTCTCTAAAAATCAATCAGTGGATTATCACTGAAAACGGAATAGTCACTGATTTACGGCTATATTTATACCACAGAAAATCGCATGACTGTAAATCAGTGACTATTCACTGTTTTCAGTGATAATCCACTGATTGATTTTTAGAGAGTTTAATGAAATGGAATTGTGATATTTTATTTCTAATTATATAGAAAATTGCATTTCTCTACATAACGCCACGTTACGTTATTTATTTGCTGTGATGTCAAAAAAGTTAATTTTGTACTTGTCACATAGTTCATAATTGTGGGAAATTTTCTGGTCTCGAAAGGTGTCAATTTTTCATCATTTACTTGGTATAGCAATTTTCTGTTTTTAAAATAGAAAATAAAGTTGAAATGATAATATTCTAACGATATCGGAAATATGGTTTCGACTAAGGTCATCGTTTAACATTTCAAAGGAAATTTACCAGAAATTCGCTCAGAAATTGTACACTCGCTGTAAAAATTATTGCTTCAAATGGATTCTATTTTGTATAATTGATAAATACAATTACAAAAATTACATACAAGATTATTAAATAAAATTTAGAAAGTTTTGGAACAGATTGTTTATGGGATCATTAGAGTTATTATAAAAAGATTTTATTACTTTGACTTTTATACTTATATTTATATAAATATTTTTTCTTAACAACATTAACAACATTGTACAATTGTATATTATAATTCATTGCACTATTATTATTATTTCGTCAACAATTTTGTCTTTGATGAAAATTAAAAGTCTTTTTGCTATTAATATCTTTTTGACGATACGTGAAATTGCACAAGTTGATTGTGGATCGGCAAATTAGACGCAAATCGAAAACCCAATTTCGCTGAAGAGTTTTTGTGACGTCGATATTTTTATTTATGAAACATTCAAGACGTGAACAATCGATCTCTTCACGAAGATGATCCGATTGCTATCTCACATCTTATCATGCCGTTGGTCTTGTCATTGTCGACAGATTCATACGACGTTTTCTCCTCGATAATTATTACGGTGAATTTCCAGTGAAATTATAAAAAGTCGATTTCACAAGAGTCTCCCATTCGAATGGGCGTGAGCTCTCGATAGCACTGACGTGAAATATTATGTTTCCGCACTCGTGGCCGCATCTTTCCCCGACTCTTTAAATTTACGCTTTTGTCGCGTAAAGATAAAATAATATAAATTTTCTTCTTCCTCCGAGTCGTATCTCCGAGAAGAGAACAGTTATTTTTAGTTAGCTCTTTTACAATTTTAATTAGATTTTAGAGTGTCACATATGTGTCCGCTGCATGCGTCAGATATTGTTTTGGTTGCTGGGCTAAAATGATCGCATTATATGTCACTATAAATGTTTGTCCTGATATATTAAACTGAGATAAAAATGCCCTCGTAATTTTACGAGAACAGCATCGCTATTCAAATCATATAACATTTTTTTTTGTATTTTGTATAACTTATTTTATGTTCTAGTATATACATATATGATATTTCTGTGAACTTAATGTCTCATTTTCTATATAGGTAAGTAAAATTCGGGCGTTTTTCTTTAAAAAGTTTTACATATATTTAAAAGAAAAACCCCCTAACGATTAAATATAAAAACTAGAAATCCAAAGATATATTTCTGTTTTACGAATCTGGTATGACTGAAAATTAATTTTGATTGAAATAAAAAAGTCATGTTTGATTCAACAGCATACAAAATTCAGATTATTTTAATTATTTATTGTACAAGAATCAAGATTAAAACATTAATAAATATGCGGTGATGCCTGATACAGTTGCTATCTTCGTTAATTAAACAGTTTGTTTAAATGAATATTGCATCTGGAGAGATATTTTGTACCAATGAATATTATGTAATTACGCAAATTGATATTACATAATATATTAACAAATAAATAAATTGAACATTTGGCATAGTGTTGAATACAGTATTATAAAAAAAATTAATAACAGAGTGCAAAATCTTTGCACGGTTATTGAATCTGTCGGCGAATCTTCCGCAAGCTGTTTCAATCTTTCTTATCAATTTTTCGTATGCGATAGTGTCTCGATGAATTTAACGTTCTCGCGGAGTCTGCAGAAGTCTTCTCGATTTCCCTGCGTCGGCTCCATCAATTCCTCGGCCGTCACTTGCAAACGATAAATTTATCTTAAAGAAGACCGACCGTGGTGCGATTTCTTCGTGCGAAGAGCGTTGCGTTCTTCCTGTAACCGGTATCTGTAATCATCCTGCTCTTAATCACGGACGACCGTGCGACGATTTTACGGTGGTTTTAGTTTCGCGCGGGCCGCAATAACTTAATTAAATCCGACTTATTTAATCCGGTCCCGCCGCGGTGCGCTGAATCGCTTTGATTTTAAAGCTGGGCGATTGCGCGAGAGAATGAAATTATCACGGCGCGCTTCTTTTTCAGCCTCGCGCGTTTACTTACTTGCGAACATTTAGTTGAGTTTTCTTCTTGTCGAGCGGAGAGAGCGTGGCCGAACTAAACACGCCGTAAAGCAAATATTAAAACTTGGCCGCAGTTTTGCGTACTTAACGTTTGAAGGCGATTACTGGAAGTATAACCGCAGCAACCGCCACTTGGCGTGCATTTCTCTCTCGAGCATTTTCGACAAGTTAAACATGCTGGCATATGTACCATTATTGCTTCGGAGTAAAAAATCGATGTGATATCATTCGATAAGATACTTTTTGGAATACAATTGTTTTCTTATGATTAAGGTGTCTCTAAACTTCAAGTGATAAGATCATTGATTCAATGTAATTATTCCATTTCTTTT